TGGCCCAGCCCTGGCTCTCCCCTTCACCCCCAGGTGCCAGGCAGGGCCAAGGCTGTGCTAGCCCCAGCTCTACCTCCTTCCTCCCCACCCTCCTCCCCCGCACCTGTCCTGGCACTCTCCCCCCTAACCACCAGGGCCAAGGCAATAGCATGGCAGCCCTGCCCCCTCTACTCCTCTGAGCACTGGGGAGGAGGGAGGCTGGGGTGCAACAGCCCCAGCTCCCAAGCACTGGGGGGGGGGAGGAGGGAGGAAGGAGGCAGGCAGGCAATATGCAGTGACGTGATGACATCTCTCTGTCGTCATGTAGGAAATATTTTTTATATAGAGAGAGATGAATAACTATTATTCACTGAATATGGAAGAGGTCTGGAAAAATGTGATCATCCTGTAATTAAAGACTCTCATAATCCATATGCAGAAGGGAGCTGAATTAAGAAATTGCCTGTGCAATCTTAACTTTTGAGTGCTTGATCTTGCAGCCTGGACATTATTTTACCTTTTTGTTTGTTTGTTTTTGTAAATCAGTATGCTGTCTGACTTAGTCTCTGATATGGTATCAGTTTTGCATCGTTTTCAGTTATTCTCCTTAACATCACTTCAAAAACATTTGCCAATGCAGAGGAAAAAGCTTTCCCTAGGAGAGACTCCCATTTACCATCAGAAGAATAGTAGTTAGGCTTTTTTTTTTAAAATGTCCAGGCCTTAGGATAAACTAAGATACCAAATATGACAGAGGAAGAGGTGCCTGCCTTAAATTGCAGATAACTTGAGGAGAAATATGTGAACTGTTAAAGGCCAAAATTCTCGTATCTATAGTAGGAAGAATCTTTTGGTGAGGGATTGGGTCTCAGAAATCCCTTTGAGACTGTCACCTAATGGGCTAATACTATTGAGCCGACCTAACTGCCCTGTGGGGCTTCCCACCACTCTCTTCTGCTGGACCAGAACCTCTGGTTTTCTCCAGGCAAAGGCACAGAGTTAGGGTAAGAGAACTCAGCAAAGTTGCTGAGAACAGCTCAACTCTAGGAGGGCTAAGTTACAGGGACTTGACGACATCCAGGAACATAGCCCCATTGAGACCTAAACCCCAAGTAAATCTGTCTTACTCTGTAAATTTTTTTAAACAGATAAAGCTCGTTAAGGTTCACTCCCTTTATTAATGAAAGAGAGATGCAAAGCTACTGTTCTTTCCTACCCCGATAACAGTTGTTTGCACTGGGTTTGATGATAATCAAAAATGATTTTATTAAGAATAGAAGATTTACCTGGCATTGCTCCAGGCCCTTAACTCAATATATATATTTTTTTTAATAAAGTGAAAATGTACATGCTTCATTTGAATCATTGCTTTGGGGTGGGGCTTGAGAGGAGGGGGTCAGTATGCAGGCTGCCCCAGGGAGAGAGGACCGCCCCAGGGAGAGAGGACCGCCCCAGATCTCCTTCACTGTAGCAGCTTGGGGCCAGATGAAACCATGACCACTGCAGCTCCCTCTGCCAGCTGTCCCTGCTGGGTGCCAGGTCACTTTTCAGTGCAGTCCCCTTCCAAGGTAACTAAAAGAAATAAGTCCAAATGAAAACCCTAAGTCCCAATGGCCCCAAAGCAGGCCTTTAGTCCTGTCTTGGTTTCTGTAATCCTTGTTCCGTTCCAGAGACTGACACCATCCCGCTTGCAAAGGTGTAATATCAGATCACAGGCTTGCCTACTTCTCTGGTTCCAGCTCTGGGCCCATGTGATGATTGAGGGTCTGTTTCTACAGGTCAACAAATGAAATGACTAGGTAGCAGGTTTTAAACCAATATAAGGAAGTATTTCTTCACACAGCACACGGTAAACCTGTGGAACTCCTTGACAGAGGATGTTTGTGAACACCAGGACTTTAATAGGTTTAAAAAAAAAAAACCCAACTAGATACATTCATGGCTGATGGGCCCACCAATGGCTGTTAGCTAGGATGAGCA